GGGCATTTGGGAAACCTCCCAGATGGTCTGTTCAAGATGGAGTGAGGATCTCTGATATTTGGTGGAGGGTCACAGGATGTCTTGGTGTGGGGATGATGTGTCCCTGCCCAGGAGAACCGGAATAGCTGGTGGCCTGGCTTGCACCTACAAAGCACTAGCCTCCAACCCTGTGTCTGGCTCGCCAGGAGCCAGGCATTCAGGGCAATCCATCTTCATTCTGGCACTGGCTTCTATTCACCCAGCCAGCCCTGCACTTGCTCCGCCCTGGTTGGGAGTCTAACCTGGTTCTGTTTTCAATTTTGGAAGTGTAGTTGTGGATTAAACACCAGTCAAATGATGGGAAAGAGTCAGAGGGAACAGCTGCTCTGTCCTCGCCATCCTGCCAAGGCCTAAATGAGCCTCCAGGAAGCATGGGGGAGGTGAGAGCCTCCTTCCCGGCAGGAATGATGCATGGCCCCAGAATGGCATGACCTGTTAGGTAGGGTCATGGTGTTCCTGGGGTTCTGCAGGCACAGGGCCATGGGCTCCTATCTACCATCATGGAAGTCCCAGTGAGTGGTCATGTATCTGAGATTAAACCTTAAGGACTGTTCAGATAAGGCAAATGACACCCCAACTGTGCCTAATTAGATGGCTAATCTGCTTGGCTCTTTTGCAGAGATGCACAGGAACCCGGTACTCACACAACAATGAGTCATTTCCTCTGGGTCCTGTACATGTACTCTTTTTGTTTTCTGTCTACCTCTTACCTGCAATGATCCCCTTCCTTTGATGGATGGAATGAGCTAGTGGACATCTGGTCAAACACTGAGCTTTATTGTTCTTTCTTGACTCATTTTATGTGGGTTTGATTAACAGGTTGTGTGGGTAGCAGAAAGTTAATTATCCTGGCTAGCCAGCAAGGGTAAACATGTAGTCACTGGGTCTCAGCGCTGGCTGGAACTGTTTGCTTCAGCTGAGGTCCTCTGGGAGAGGGCTTCTTTCATATATATATTTGGAATGCTTTCTGTGAAACCCTCAGTTACAGGTGACTTTCTTACAGTGGGTTACTATTCTCCCAGGCAAATCTTGAAGCAGGATAAAGAGGGCTTACATCTTGTTCCTGGTGCAAATATTCTTAAGGTATCATAAGGCTCCATATACCTTGGAACAAGGATTCTTCCTGGGGGGAACAGAGTGACCCTGTGGTGTGTGGTGTGGAGGAAAGGGCCCCAGTGACAAAAGGGAGATTGGAAGGGTCGGCAGCCTATTGAAGAGTGAGGAGTTACTGGTGTTTGTCACCATTAAGAGCAAATATTTTGAGTACTGAGATCTGCATAGAAACCTCATTTTAGTTCAACTTTATTCATTGTTAAAATAATATTTAGAGTTGATTGTAGATATTTTATTTCCTCTTCTTCTCTTTCTCTAAGTCAAGGTCTCTTTGTAGCACAGGTTAGCTTCAAAGTCACCGTCATCTTCCTTCAACCTTAGAGTTTGAGGACTATAGGATGTGCCATCACACCCAGATACCCTTCCATTTTATACTTATAGCTGTGCAGACTATGGTTTTATGCTTTCTTACTGAACATGAGAAAATGATTAGCAGCTTTACTGTGATTCTTATGGCCATACATAGTGTCAGATAGCTGCGGAATTCCATCCAGTTGACATGTTCAGAAGTTGCCTCTTTTCTGTGTATTTTAGGTAATTTATAATGTGACATTGTCATGAGAACATGGAAAATACATCTTTTGGTAATGGTTATTATTTTCATTCTGAGGCAATTCCCATAGCCAAATAATCATAATGGGACAAAGGCACTCTGTAGTTCTCAAATGCCATCTTGAGCTGCCATCATCTTCTCCTACTCCTCAGCACTACATTCTAGACTAATGGTAAACTTTTCATCGACATGTGCCATTGTTAGCTTCAGCTGTCAACTTGGAGTCACCTGGGAGTCTAAGAAGTTGCCTAGATAATATTGGCCTGAAACCATATCTGTGAGGCATTTTCTTAACTGCTAATTGATGTGGGAGGGTCCAGCCCACTGCAGGTAATGCCATTCCTATGCAGTTGGTCTTGGGCTATGTAGGAAAGCTAGATGGGTAAGCCAGAGGAAGCAAGCTGGTAGTCAGCATTCCTCCATGCTTTCTGCTGTAAGCTCCTATCTTGAGTTTCTGCTTGGCTTCTTTTGGTGACATACTGCAACCTATAAGATGAAATAAACCCTTTCCTCCCCAAGTTACTTTTGGTTATAACATTTATAGCAGCAACCTAAAAGCAGACTTGAACTTCATGTATATGCTTTATTTTAGCAAGTGCTTCCTTGACTGGTAGTTAATGGGGAAAATGAGCCATATATCTGGTACTCCCCCTCTCCCGTCTTAGCTCTATATTTTGTAAACAGGAGCTGGAGTTGGCCCTTTGATGTCCCATGTGGGACTCAGTGCTAGGCATATATTGGTAGAAAACACAATTTCTTAATTAAAAGAAAACACCAGCAGGATGTTGAAAAGCCATGAGAAATCATTAAAAACCCATAATAAGCGTAAATCTATCTATCGTCTATCTATCTATCTTAAATGAAAAAATCCCATCTGGGTTGACAATGCTCTCTCCAAGAGCCAAAGACCATCTAATAAAATCCCCAACACCAGACATGAGAATGCCTCTTTTGAATTGTTGGTCAGGGTTTTCTCAAGGGACTCCTGAAACATTCCTGGTCATTGCTATTATTGCCATTGCTTTCCCCCCAGAGGTAGAAAGTAAGTGCAATAGTGACCTTAGCTGGAAGGCAAGTTAAATAGAACAAAGTGGAGAGAAAGACTTAAGTTCCTCCCACCCAGCAGGACAGCTCTTGGGAGGAGAGATAGCCTAGCATACATTTTGGGCTACCTCCTTTTGGAGATTGGTGTTCATGTGCGTTTGATTTTGTGGGGTTTTTTTTCATGTCTTGAAGCTTCTCTTTCTCTAAAGGCCATTTTTTTTTCTGGAAGGTTAAGCCAGGTTTGCTGTTGTTGGGCTTCAGAGAAGACCTTGGAGAGAGTGAACCAAACCAGTACTGTGTTTTGCCACCGGTGAGCTTTAGCTTCTGGGATGAAAGCAAAGGCAGAATGATGGGAGTGAGTGTGGGGCTTCAGAAGACTTGGGCTCAGTCTTTCACTGATGTTCTGCTGGTACTGTGGAGGCGGACACAGGCTCTCTTAGTAGCCAGGATGGCTTAGTCTGTCTCCTGCTCTAATTTGTGGTGTTTATCTGCTTTTCAACTCAGTGGGGCTGCAGATTCGGAGCCATTTGCCTGTTAATCCTTCTATAGTGGGAAATTCAGATGGAGGTGCCTTTGATGTATTAGAGGCACAGTCACAGTTCAGACTTTCTTTCCTGAAGACAAAGTCTTCCCAAACCTCATCACCAGGGAGGTTGATTTTAGGAGTGGTAGGGACCATGATGGAGCCTGGCTGGTGTGCTTACTGTCTCTTTCATCCTGGCACATTCCTTATCAAATTGGATTGCCAGGAACATTCCCTTGGGGCTCCAGAAGAGGAGAGGAGGAATTTTTTTTAATCAGAAAAGAAAGTTAGGAAGCAATTAGGATGCACTAATTAATAATAATAATAACAATAACATTTTGAATTGGTGCCTAGTCTGAGAGTGGCTTCAGGCTCTTTGCCAAAAGTCCTGTGTGTGGCGGCTGCCTTTCAAGGTGTCATGCATCTGTTTCCAGATCTGACAGTGACGGTGTGTTTTGAAACACCTAACTGTTGGCATTGTTTATTGAGAAAATTTTAGAGCTTCGCTCAGGCAACTGATTTCACACAGCATCTGCTGTTGGTGTCACCGATGCAAGTATTCAGAGAAAAGAGCAGAAAGTAAATAGAAAAAATGAAAAGACAGATAATCCAGGGCTGTGGAGGGACAAAGGAGTTTCACGTGGCTGGTCAGAGCCTTCAAGCTACCCTCCCCATAATCAAATGTGTGTCATATTTTGCCAAGCATCCTGGGCTGTCACACCTGCCATCCCCACCTGTGACCATTTTCTTCCCTTTTTTGCACTAACTAATCAATTCTGAGATGCTGGGTTCTCCCCATCCCTCATTTATAGCTGGCTCACTGATCTTGCCTCTAATAGCACCAGTGAAGACACAGAGTCCCCTGCATGGAAGGACTGGGTAGATCTCCAGCCTGATTCAGACAGACAGCACCATTGACAAAGACAGTCTGTGTTTACCTTGGAAATAGCCTTTAAAAATATAAAAACTTATAACACTCAGTGCTTTTAAAGGTTTGGTGCCCAGCCAGACTTTGCATGGACTACTGTTAAGAATGTGAAATTGTCTCCAACTTTCTATAGAGCAATGCGGCATATATGGCTCCCAACCACTGAACCTCATTCTTCCAATTCTGTGAAGCCACCCTAGGAAAATGATCAGAGTCTAATAAGGAGCAGAAGCAAAACTGAGGGGAACTGAGTGACAATGTAAAGAAGTGGTTTGGTGGAGGGTGACCACCCCTGCATCGAATGAAGAAACCTAAATGTCTAGTAAAATGGCCATAACAGAGTATTATTGAGTCAATGAGAATGAGGTTTACTGAGTTTCTAATGGGACAACCACATTGCTAAAATGGTAAGTGAAAATAAAACAAACAATGTCATACACATTGTGATCTCAAGATATATTTGGGTAGAGACAAGGATTATGAAATTATAGATGAGTTTTTAATTGTTCTTGATAGTTCTTTTCAAAGTTTGTACAATGAACATGCGTTACATTCCTTGCTATTTATGAGTACTAATTTATTTAAACAACTTATTTAAAATCTATGTGAAGGAAAGGGATAACCTTCAAAAAGATTCTGTCATCCCAGGTAGTATGCAAAACCATGCAGTTCTCTGTATTATCTTCAGATCTATACTAGTTGTGGGCTGTGTTAATTAATTTCTTTATTGGCATGATGAAGTTTTCTCACTTGCTGCTGCAAAAAATACTTAAGGGAGAGGAAATGTTTGTTTGACTTACAGTTTGAGGGTATAGCCCATCACAGCAGGGACAGCATGGTAGTGGGAGCAAGGGGCAGCTGGTTATTCTGCATCTACAATCAGGAGAGAGAAATGAACACTGATGCTCAGCTCCTTTTCTCTTTCTTAGTCAGTTCAGGACCCCTACTCATAGAATGGGCTGTTTATATTTAAGAGGTGCTGTCTCACCTCAATTAACTCAGTTTAGAAAATCTCTCACAGACAAACCCAAAGGTTTCTTTCCACGGTGATTCCAAACCACAGTTGAAAATCTAGAAGGATGCTAGGTTTACTTTTCCTGAAGTCTTTCTTAGAGAGAAGACCATGCTGTGCCGGAGGAGTCTTGTGATGAACAGTTGGTCCATTTATTATGTGAGGAGTGTGGAGACACTGTCTGATCACTTTGGGCATTGTGGACCATGAAGTAATATTAGGTCAGGTTAGTATAGCATGGGTATTCAAAGAAGCCCTTGGTGTAGGAGCTCTGGGATGCAGGAGGCCCTTCACTTGGAGTGTGTTGTGTTGTTCATGTTAAAGCTGATGCTTTAGTACCAGAAACATCGATTTTACTCAGAGGCTGGTTAAAAATGCTGAGTCCTAGGCCAACAGCATCTTGATCTGTTGCCCATAAGTCCCAGGCCAGTGTTTGAACATGCACATTGGAAGAAAATTAAGTTTCATTCTGGCAGAGATCTGACCCAGTCATTAGGAACAGAGGCATGTCATATTCCTAGAAAGATGACAGGGTGTTAACGCTCTACCCCAAGAAAACATAACCATAGCTTTCATGAGTCACAGCATTGACTCCACTGAAGGCTGAACTCTGAAAGTTCCAAGTTGGTTAACTGAGAAATAAAGAGATACAGGATGTGATCTGTATCTCTTCTGGACCTGGGGTTGGCATGGGGTTCACCCCTTCAGGGATCTGTGTAGCTCTAGGCCAGGTTTGCCTCTGTCCCTTTGTTCATTGCTGCAGAGCTGTGGCTACTTCAGGGTGACTGTGCAAGCTGTGTTCTTGAGCCTGAGCTCTAGAGCTGTGGGCTCACCGAGTCCCCCTGCTCCCTTCCTGGGGTAACTCTCTGATTGTGGGCTCACCCATGTCTCCCAGCTCATCTCCGGTGCTTACTCTCTGGCTGTTGGCTCACCCTAGGCATCTGTGCTCTGTTTCAGGGTTATTATTCAGCTTCCATTACTATTGCACGCAGGTGTCTCTCTTCTGCTCTCTTTTCTCCCTCTCACCACCGAGAAAGCTGTGTTCCTCTAGGGATTCTCATGTGTGTTACTCAGCCCACAGTGCCCTCTATTGTGATGCCTACTGCACAGGACCCTGGCCCATCTCCCCAGCAAGAAACAAGTCACAAGCCTCCCCACCCTTAATAGTGATGCCTATAGACCAGGATTCATCTTGGGTCTTGATCCTTTACTGACCATGGATCTCTGATTAGCTTTTGACACCTGGTGCACTGTAAGTATCTGGGTTCCAGGAGCCTCGAGACTGGACTTGCTCCTCCAGTGCCTCATGGCTTTGTTTGCTTCTGAATAGGTATGTGTGAGGCTGGTTCTGCGCTACCACAGAGGAAGGCTGTGTGGTCAGGTAGAAGTTGTCTCCAAACAGCTGTGGCTGCACTCCTGCAGATGTAGAAGGTGGAGATTTTCACTCCCCAAAATGATGTAAGCATTCATTTTGATAAATTTATTTATTAGTATCCATATGTGGAGAGTAGAGGTAAACTTTATTTGTGCTTCTTCAGGAGCTGTCCACCTAGTCAGGGGTTTTCTCTGGGGCCTGGAACTCACAAGTTAAACTAGACTTGTTGTTCAGTGAACCCCAGGTTTCTGCCTATTCCCCTGCCTCTGGTGCTGGGATTACTATGCATGCTATTTCATCTGTTTTTTTTTTACATGGTGATAGGAATGAAATTCAGGTCCCAGACTTACGAGTAGTCACTTTAACATATGAGCTGTCTCTTCAGCCCTGGACTTAGCTAATAGGCATCACCATTCTAAGGTCAGAGCCTGGAGTCTTACTGGTGTCTTTCCCTGATGCTCACATCTGCTCTTGGTGTTTTCCACTCACACAGCCTTCCATGTGGACAACATCCAGTATTCCTCAGTGTCCCTGTCACAGAGAATAATGTCATTCCACAACATACTGCCCAGGGCTCCAGCTTGGCTGTGGAACAGAATGGCAGAGCCTGGGTGCAGCTGCTGCTGGCTTAGGAGATATGCAGTTGCTCAGGCTTCTCCCAGAACGCTAGAGAGCCTACGTTTTCCCTCACCCCCCTTCACTATGGTAGGATTTATTCTGCTTCACTGTGGTGGGATTTAGTCTTCCGTTTGCCAATTGTCTTCTGTGCTCACCACACAGACAGAGGCTCAGAGAACCTGGAACTTAGAATCACAAGCACTCTGACATTTTATTTCCGAATTAGAATGTCCCTAAGGCAAGAAAGTCATAGGGAGGAGTTGTAACAGGTGTCCTCCTTGTACCCTGGGGCCCATTTGATCATTAGGAATTCAGATGTATTCAGAAAGCATCTACTATATCCTAGGGTCTGATGAGGTCCCTGAGATAAAAGGATGAATACTGGCCTGGGAGATATGTCAGTAGATCAATGTTTAGTGTATATTCTTCAAACACGTGTGAGGATGCTGTAGGAGGAAAGATCATAGCTACAGTGAAGCTGAGTGGAGGGTGTTGAGGTTAGCAGGATGGACCATGCTCTGTTGTCATAACAAGCCGACTCAAATCTCGGTAACTAGAAAGGGAAAGTGCTTTCCCTAGCTGAGGACAGTCTGATACAGACAGTCTGTAAGGAGTTCCTCATTAGGGAAAGGAAAGATGGGAACAGACATTTGCTCCAGAGCTTCTGCTGGAAGGATCAGACATCATTTCTACTCAGATGTTGGATAAAGCAAGTCGTGTAGCCTAGACTGTCTCAACAGGAGGAAGTTCCATCTCACGTTTGTGAAGAAGGACTGATTGTCACTGAGGTGGACAAAGGTCCTTGGCTAGCAGGGTGCTCTGGGAGCAAGTTCAAGGGTAGGAAGGAGATCTGTGCCAAGACTATTGCTGGCCTTAAGGAGGGTAGCTTGGACAGTGATGTGTTTTCTCATGGGTTAGTTACATTTCTCATCACTGGTACCAAGTATCCAACAAACAGCAACTCAAGAGAGGAGGGTTGTCTGGCTCATGGCTTATGGATATAGTCCATCATGGTGGGGGATGGCTTAGCAGTGATATGATCTCAGGAGTTTGGCAGCAGGATCCTGAGGCTGCTTTCTTGAATCTTCTTGGACCAGAAAGCAGAAAGTGGCTAAGAGAGAGTAGGGCTGGGACTATACAAGCCAAGTACCTCTCCCAGTGACCTTCTTATAACACAACCCCTCCCCAACCTCTTAAAGGTTTTACAACCAATCAAAGGAGTGCCACCACCTGGGGACCAAGTGTTGAAACACATGAGCTGGTGGGAGAAAATTTTCTTCTAAACTGCAGCACCTTGTAACTTGATGCCTCTTACTCCAACACAGCCTCTCAATGCCTGCATGGCCTGGACATGGGGCAGGGGGAAGGGGGAGGTGGCAAGAAAATGGAGGTTGTTCTCATGCAGGAGGAGCATGGCAGGGAAAGTAACTACAAAATCGCACCTTGTTTTCAACTCCATAATCAGAACTGGTGCTTATGGACTCAGACAGTTTTCACAACTTGGTTCAGAGCAGACAGCATCTCACTAAAGTTAGTGGGTTCTAAGGACAAGTACAGGGATATGCATGTTAACCCTGAAGAATTGCCTCTGCCAAATAGACCTTCTTTACTGCTGTGACAAAAACCTGACAAAATCATGTTAGAGAAGGAAGGAAGGAAGGAAAGAAGGAAAGAAGGAAGGAAGGAAGAGTTTATTTTGACTCATAGTTTAAAGGCTCAGAGCATCATGGTAGGGGAATCATGACATGACATGGATGTAAGGCAACTGGTTGCATTAGAGAGAGATGAATGATATTGTCCAGCTTGCTTTCTCCTTTTTACTTTTTATTTAGTCAGGGACCCCCTATTCCATGGGATGGCTTGCTAGTTAATTTTAGCTGTCAGGGTGATACAACCTAGAATCAGTTCGTAAGAGACTCTTAGTGAGAAATTACCTAGATTAGGTTGGGCTTTGTGTATGCCTGTGGAAAACTGTCTTTGGTGCAGGAAGACTCATCCCATTGTCGGTGGCACCATCTTTTAGGCACGAAACCCTAAGAGAGGAGAAATTTAGCAGAGAATAAGAAGCAGCAATGCACTGGCTCCCTGCTCTTGGCTATGGATGTGATGTGGCTAGCTGCTTGGAGTTTCTGCTTTGACTTCCATGAAATGATGGAGTGTAACTTGGAATTGTAAATCAAATAAACACTTTCTCCAAATATATTGCTTTTGGTCAAGGTGTCTGTCACAACCAGAAGAGAGCTATCACCCATTTTCAGTTGGGTCTTCCCTCCTCAGTCAAACTCCTCTGGAAGCACCATACAGACACACCCAGATATATATCTTCATGGTGACTCTAAATCCAGTCAAGCTGACAGTGAGGATTAACTATTATACTATACTAAGGGTACATTTGACAAGCTCATTTGGACTTCTTCATCTCAACATTTAGGGAAAGAAGTTGTTGGTCACAGTGAGTGTATGGAATGGCAAAAAAAAACTGAACTGCAAATGACTTACAAAAACACCGTTGTTTAATTTTCAAATGTAGCAGTCCTGGGAAAATGCCAAGATGCCTACATGTGGTCACCAGCTGAGGTGTTCACCAGGGCAGCTCCAAGGCTGAACTGAGGGTCAAGGTTAACTGTAAGGAGCCAAGAGTCAAAGATGGGAGGTATACATACATGCCAAGGATAGCTGCTTCTAAGCCTACTCACATTGGGTTGAGAACTTTACCCCATGACCATATTCTAGTTTCTTTTCTGCTGCTGTGGTAAAACACCCTGGTGTAAAGAAACATAAAGGAGAAGGGGTTTGTTTAGCTTAGACCTACAGGTTATAGCCCATTATTGTAGGGAAGTGAAGGCTGAAACTTAAAAGCATGATATCCATGGAAAGAAATTGGGGCAGGTGAAGATGGAGGTTTCTGTCCCACCTGGTCCCAGAGCTGTTTTGCCCCAATAAACACATGGACACTATATTAATAATAAAATTTTTGGCTGATGGCTAGAGGTTTTTATTGGTTAGCTCTTAACCCACAACTACTAACCTATGTATTTCTACATGGCCTCATCTTACCAGAGAACGTCTGGCCTGTCCTATCTTCCTGGTCTCTACATGGTGTCTTTTTCTATGGCCTCCCTCTCTTCCTTTCCCCAGCCTTCTTCTGGTCTGGTCACACCACCAGTGCTTTCTGCATGTCTATTAGCCAAACAATGTTTTATTCATCAACAAACAAGAGAAGCATATATGCAGAAGGACATTCCCCATCAGACAGAGGGTGGGAGGTGAAGGGTATGGTTGGAGGAGGAAGAGAAGGAGTGGGAAGGGTAGGGAAAACATACTTTCTTCCTTGCTTTCTCAGTACTCAGCTAGCTTTTTTCTTTCTTAAACACTTCGGGACACTTTGCCTAGGGAATGGTGTTTCCCGCAATGGGAAGGGTGAGTTAACAATCAAAATAATCCCCCATAGAAATGTTCACAGGGCAGTGTGATCAAGGAAAAGCTTCCATTACCTGTCAGGTAATTGTAGGTTGTCAGTTAAAACTAACCAGTACACATGTGTAAAGTGAGCTGAGAATGGAGGTTAGCCTAACCCCAGGAAAGGCAGCCAGCCCATGGCAGGGAGGGATACTAACGGGAGGGATATGATCCAAGTTCAGGGTGTGCTGGGATTTTCACTGTTTCTCAAAATGAACTGGAACATCCATTCATCCTTTCTTGAGGGGTGGGTCATGGAATCATAGAAGAATGGTATCTAGATTAGGAAGGACAAAGTCAGCACCATCTAGATAGACTTGCCTGTGACTGTCAGAGACCACACACACACACACACACACACACACACACACACACACACACAGAGAGAGAAGGGGGGCACATTACTTTCCTAAGAACAGACACATCCACCAAGACTCAAAGCCACTTCCACTATCTGGAATGGCTTATCCATATCTGAGCCACTCAACAGTGGCACCTCCTCCTCATGCTTGCCATCATTCCTGCCGATTTCAGTGGGCAAGGCTGGTGCTCCCACAACCCATGGGGACCAGAGACGACGTAGTCAATGATGAATCTGTTTGGCCTCTTGATGGAGCCAAGTGAATGCAAATCCATTGTATCAAGTTTTAATCCCTTCCTGTGCTAGCTGAGAATCTGCACTTGGCATGCTAAGCACTGAGTTAGAGAACAGGTGTCTCTGCAGAGCAGTGGGAGTCACTGTATTTGTTGACTCTACTTGAGTTTATTTAAAAATCTCTGCTGTATGTGTGGGGAACTTGCCCAAGCTTGGGGCTTGGCTGCTGTGGCATGCTGTTGGAGTTCTTCCATAAAGCCACCTGTGTTGCACAGACCAGCTTGAGGGTTACAGAGGAGGGGCTAAATGAGACAGTGTTAGCTGACTTTATGCATGCTCTCACTTGTCCTATGTCTTCAGAATTCCATCGACCATCATCACATGAGTGTAAGAGGTGTTTCAACTGCTAAT